CAATACAACTAGCCTGACTAGCAAGCTTGCTCCCACGGATGTTCTGTGTTCTGTCACTGTGAAGAGACACCATGACCAAAACAGTTCTTATAAAAAATAAAATAAAATAAAAAATAAAAAAAAGGCTGTTGACCACCCCTGGTTTTGTTTATATTTTCAGAGGGTTAGTCCATAATCATCATGGCAGGAAGTAGACAGGCATGGTGCTGGAGCAGTAGCTGAGAGCTTTACATCCTGATGGACAGATAGGAGAGAGAAGGATTGGGGAGGGAGAGACCTTGGATGTTTCAAAAGTCCACTCCTAGTGACCTACCTTCTCCAAAGCCACACTTTCTAATCCTTTCCAAACAGTTTATCAACTGGAAACTGAGCATGCAAATATGAATCTATGAGGGTCATTCTTATTCAAACCACCACACTTTGTCTCTGCCTTACGAGTACGGGAGTTATTGAGCAGCTACTATACCCACCTGGCGTGTGTGGGGACTGGGGATCCAGACGGCCACCCTCACACAAGGTGAGAGTTTGAATCACTGCCATCTCATTGACATAACATTGCTTCTTGTAATTGTCTAGGTGACTTTTAAAACCCACGTCTACACTTTCTAAGATGTTATAAAAGCCACCCTGTCTGCTAAGAACTGTTTAACACGAAATCATTTTCCCAGTCCCTGGGCTGCCACCTGGGACCCGCAGGGATAGGAACAAAGTCAACTCAAAGGCCGAAAGGCCTGGCCCTGGCTCAGCTTCTGTCACCATGGCCCCCAGAAAAGGGGCTTCACGGATCCTCATGGCCTGCAGGGTCATAGGTCACATGCTCAGCCTTCGCAGGCTCAACTACCAGTGGACAGAGAATGGCCAACTTGAGTCCTTTCTCTTCGGCTCAGGCACAGCCCTGACCTTGGTACTTTTATTTCTGAGGGAATCAAACCAGCTGGGGTAAGGGTCTGTCCTCCGTATGGAGCCTCCAAAATGCTTCCCTATGCAGTTTACTCTCCACCCGTGGAGAGCTAAGGATAAAGCTATCGGCTCAGCCCTGGCTACTCCAGAGTCATCACCATGGGCTCCAGATGTGGCCAGGCCAGGACAAGGTGGCCCTATTAGCTTTCTCAGCTCCTATGAGGAGCTCTCTAGCCTGGGGAGGCCATTTCTAGGCCAGTGGAAGGAACCCTGTGTGTACTCGCCCAACGGCCCAGTTAATGCCCTAATTTCAGAAGGGAGCCCAAGGGATAGCTGTTCACACTTGAGGGTGAGCAGGTGGGTACCATATTCTTTCCTGAAAATCCTCCTTCCACCAGACTTTTTTTTGGGAGGGGGTAGATTTGTTTTTCTTTTGAGACAGAGATTTTCAGTATAGTGCCCTGGTTGGCCTGGAATTCACTATCTAAACCACGAAGCCCTCAAACTGAAAGATCCTCCTGCCTCCTAAATACTGGGAGTGAAGGTCTGTGCCACAACACAAAACTTTGTAGCATCTTTCACAAAACTTTGTAGCATGTCACTATTGTGACTTAGCATCAAGACCCCACTAGGCTGCTCCCTAGCTGAAAGAACCGGGCTGGATATTTACTGTGGGAACTAAGGAGTCATAGGGTCCCTGTTGAAGCCCAGACAGGAACCCAGGTTCAGAACAGATGGTATCTGATTTTTTGTTGGTTTTAAAAGATTTGTTTATTTATTTATTATATAGACAATGTTCTGCCTGCAGGCCAGAAGAGGGCATCACATTACAGACAGTTGTGAGTCACCATGTAGTTGCTGGGAATTGAACTCAGGACCTCTGGAAGAGCAGTCAGTGCTCTTAACCTCTGAGCCATCTCTCCAGCCCCTTTGTGTTTTTATGGTGGGTTTTGATTTTTGTTTGCTTGTTTGTTTCTTTCAAGACAGGGTTTCTCTGTGTAGTATTGACTGTCCTGGAACTCTGTAGACCACACTGGCATTGAACTCAGAGATTCACCCGCCTCTGCCTCCCCGGTGTTGAGATTAAAGGTGTGCACCACCACCTGACTTGATTGCTGTGTTTGAGACAGAGTCTCACTACGTAACTTTGGCTGACCTGGAATTTACTCTGTAGAGCAGGCTGATCTAGAACTCACAGAGATCCTCCTACCTCTGCCTCCCAAATGCTTTGATTAAAGGATCCACCACACCTGGCTAACAGATGGTTATCTTGAGGCCTCCCAATTCTGGCCCAAGACCTGACTACTTCTAGGACCTGTAGTTGCTCCAGGACTCCTGACCTCGATCATCCTCTAGCTAACTTCCTTGTGTCCAATAGATTGCATAAAGCAAGAGTCCAGAGCCTTAGGACTGGGTTAAGAGACACTAAGGCAGGTTGGGCACACTGCCTACTGTCCTCAGCAACAGGAAGTCCCTCAAGACCCGGGACTCACCTGGGGGTTCAGATGGTCCCATTGGATCCCAGTCAGAACATTACTTCATCCCAGTGAATATAAGCACCCTGGAGCCTTCTGGAGGTCACCAGTCCTGCAGCCTCTGGAGTGGCTAGGTTGGTCCCCTTCTCCCCATTGTCACTGTGCCCTCTGGTGGCTCTCCCAGACTCTCTAATGCCACAAGGAGAAACCCACAGTAGCCTAAATGTTAGGGTGCTCACCCAGCCACAGGGCACACAAAAGGTCTGGGGAGGGAAGATACACAGGACCCAGGGGCGATCACTGTCCTCCACCCTACCAGGAAGAGCCACCATCTGTCCTGAAGCCTGGCACCATTAGCCTCAAGCACCCCAGCCCCCAAATCCATGATAAATCTCTGCTCCCTAGCGTGCCCCAGTTCCAGAGATGCCTCCTAATGCACATCAGGATGAGGGAAGCATGGTTACCCCCATTTCACTGATCATGCCAGGAAAGCATGCTGTGTGCCCGATGGCCCCGGGAGTCCAAGGGACAGGGACCCTGCCTCTCCTTTGATACCTGCAGGGTTCCGGGCCATCTCCTAGGCAGTGGGGGCTTCTGACTGTTTCAGTTCCTTTAACCCTGACCTATCTTCTTGCCCGGGCAAGGGCAGAACAGCCATTCAACAGCCCGCGGAGGACCCAGAATACTTGGCAAAGTCCTAGCCCTGCCTCCCAGGACAGGTCCGCCTTTACAGAGCTCTAGACTGGTCTGCCCCTCCCCCAGGGGCTGCTGTTGCTGCCTGGGGCCCCCTGTCCAGGTTGCAGCCTGCAGCATTCGTCATGTGAAGGGCCCCAGGGTAGAGCTCCCCCAAGAGCTTGTGAGATTTAACTATGACAAGAGCGACACTGGGAGTGAGCTGGAAAGGGAGGAGCTGCCCTGGGAAGATGAAGGCAGGGCTAGCCCACTGCCGCCCCATTACAGTCTCTGAGGAGTAGGGAGCCGGCTGATGAGTCCTGTGGCTAAGGAAGTACTCCCCCCCCCCACGCCAGGGGTCCCAAAGGCCATCCGGCATCAGCTAATAAACTGGCCTACCCACCTCCCAAAGCATCAGGCTCTGCAGAACCATGGTCGGTTATGGCATGGGGGTCTCAAGTGTGGAGGGTCACTGGCGTCCAGTTCTGAGCAGATTAAAGGGTTTTGAGGTTATTGCCTGGGAATGGGAGAAGGCACCAAGAAGGTGGCCATGCTATGGAGGCCTGAGCCCCTGCCAGGAGAGGCTCATGTCCTGGGATTCTGCAGAACGGTTCCTAGCCTAAGTAGACAACACTGAAGATCACCTGCACCCAGTGGACTGCAGAGACCACGGTGGAGAAGTGTTTTGCCCCCTCCCCACTCTTCCCAGCTAGCTGGTAGCATAGGAGGGCCCTGAGCAAAGTATCTTCGTTGGGAGGGGCATAATTTTGCTCTTTAGGGCCCTAGTCCCAGCATCACAGGACAGTCCAAGAACCCAGGCAAGTGGACAGCCAGCGCAGTACTATCTGACCCAGGAAAGACTGGACTAACTCCACTGCTCTACGTCCTGCCCCAGGAGAGACCTGCAGAGGCAGTAGGCGCAGCTCAGTGAGCTCTTGGGGTCAGCCCAGCCTGGTGAAGGCGGTGCCAAGGCCCCAGGTGGCAAGAGTGGGCGGGGCGCCTGCCTGGGCTCCCCTAGCTCGGACAGCTCAGCCTCACTCCACACATCCCTCGGCCCTTGTCATCTCTGCATTTGCTGTCTCCTTCAAAAGTAAGTCCAATGAACAGAACCCTCACATCCGGGGGAAAACAGACCCCAGAGCTCTAGGACTTGACCAGGTGGGTTCCCTTAAACTAATCCTAACTCCTGGGACTACGACAACTGTCTCCGGGCCTCAGGGGCTGGGCGGCCGACAGATCGAGTCCAGCCGCGCAGGAGCGATTGCTGCGCGGCGGGGGCGCGTCTGTCCTGCGCCGTGCGCGCCGCCCGCAGTGCCCGTGTGCGCCGCCGTGCGCCTGGCCGGGGGCGTCTCGGGGTGCACCGGCGGCCGGGCTCCGGCGGCGGCAGCAGCGCAGGTAGGGCCAGTGGTGGGTCATGCCCCAGCCCAGGTGCTCCCATTTGTGAAGGACCCGCAGCTGGTCCTCCGCCCATGTGGCTGTCGGCGTGTGTGGCGCGGGAGAACCTGGCAGGGTGGGGCACTGTAACTTGGGGTCTCTGGGAAAGGTACTCCGCAGGTGGCCGCATACACCCGGAGATACTAGCCCATCCAACCTCTCACCCATCCCTTGCGAGCCCTCCCAAGACCCCTTTAGGATGGGCAACTCTAGAGGCAGCACCATCGCCGGGTGCTAGACTCTCCCGAGCCAAGGCCGGCTCAGCTGCAGTATCCCGGGATAGAGGCTTTTGCCCGGAAGTGCCCGGCACGCGGTGCCAGACCCCTCTCAAGGTCGAGAAAGCTGTGATTGTCCGGAGAACCAGGGACTTGGTCTCCAGGAGTGCACTGAGATAGGGAGGGGTAAAGGGAGGCCCATTGTTGTGCCCAAACAGACGGTTCTCCCCAGTCAGGTCGGAGACTGGGCGACTGCCGACTGTGCAGGGAAACAGTGGTCTCAGGAGGCTGCCCACCTCCCAAGTCCTGGGCTTGCTCAAGGGCCTGTATCCCCAGACCTTCTGCACACACCCCACCCTACATGCAAATTGCAGCCAAATCCTCCTAGCTCCGCGATTAACTTGGCCTCTTTACCCATGCAAAACAGGCACCCAGGAGGGTCGGGCAGCACCCTGCCTCCCAGGGCCCTCAGCCCACTCTTACACCCCACTCAGGGTCTGAGTTAGAGAGAAGTGGGACCAGAACGAGGATGGGGGTGAGGGCTGCTCTGGATACTCAGGAGTCCATCTTGCAGCCTCCCTGGGCAGGGATGAGGCTGTCCTACAAATCCAGGGCTGGGCCTTGTCAGGCTCCTTTTCTCTGCCAAGAACGGAAAGTTTTCTCTCCAGCTAATCAGTCCCACTGGGTAGAGGAGGCCCGGGGGCCTCGTTACTAGGTCCCTGTGGCACGGTCCAGGGCCTGTTCCCCAGCATCATCACGCAGACCTCAGGAAGGGCCAGTGGGTGGTACTGTCCAATGGGCACTAGTCCCTGGGAGCAGGCAGAATCTGCGTCCTGGGGCTGCGGCTGCAGACCCAGCTCCTTTGCTTCTCTTGTCCACCAGCCTCAGGCTGGCTACCTCCGACGCCCCCGACGCTATGGAGGAGTGGGATGTGCCCCAGATGAAGAAGGAGGTGGAGAGCCTCAAGTACCAACTGGCCTTCAAAAGGGAGATGTCCTCCAAGACGATCCCCGAGTGAGTGCCCCTGCTGTGTTTGCCTGCCCTGCCACTGCCCCTTGTGTTAAGCAGATCCTCACACCCCAGTGGGCAGGTGCCATGGGAATGACCAACATTCACTGAAACTCCCCGCTCACAGGCTTCTCAAGTGGATCGAGGATGGGATCCCCAAGGACCCCTTCCTGAACCCTGACCTGATGAAGAACAACCCTTGGGTAGAGAAGGCCAAGTGTACCATCCTGTGAGCCTGACCCACACTCTGTAAGGCGTGACTTTATAAATAGACTTCTCCAGGTGTCTCTGCTTTTGTACATTCCCTGTGGGAGTCAGTGCGACCTGATGTCCTGGGGCAGTAGGGGCTACAGCAGGTCCCTGATGTACAGGCTGCGCCGCACAGCATTGGAGACACCCTCGTTGAACCGGAACCACACCTCACTCCTGCCCACTGCCACACCCATGCGCCACTGGTCTGTGTCCTTCTCTGGGGCCTCAGCCTCTGCAGGGACAAAAGGGTGGCACCTCAGCAGACCCCGGCCAATGTCTCCACCCCCCTTCCTTCTGTGACCCATACACACCTCTGCTTGGGACTGCCACTCTCCTGATGACCACACGTCCAAAGAAGTCCCTCTCGGGCTAGTAGAGAAGAGAGGTCACCAGATTGGTAGGTGGGCAATTGGGCACACCCAGGCCTTTCCCATCGGAGAGGAGACTTCCATGCCTTAGAGCAAGGCTTGCAACTAGGAGTTCTTTCCTAACCCACTGACCACTTTCTGGGAGCAACAGGTAGGTCCTTGGGACCTGGAGCAAGCCCCACCCTCCATTCATCATTCTGGCCCAGCCCTACTCCCCACACCTGCTCCTGCATGACAGCTTTCTTCATGATGTGTTCCAGCCGCTGCTCGTGGTTACGTGGGGCGGGCTGCTTCATCCCTTTATCCCTGCTGTCCACCTGAAGGGAAGGGTGACGAGAGCCGGCTGGTCAAGGCCAAACCACTGATAGTACCCGCTGTCCCAGCACCAGGAGGCGAGCTTACCTGGGGGCCACCTCTAGCACAGGCCAAAGCCTCTGCCCTCCGCATCTTCTCCATTTCAATCTCCCGGGCAATAAGCTGCTTAGCCTGGTAGGTGAGGGGCTTGCGGGCAGGCAGCTCAGGGAAGCGGCAGACCTCCTCTACATTCCTGACCAGGTGGGTGAGACGAAATACGGGGTTCGTCAGCAGTGCCAGGGTCCGCCTATTACACCAACCCCGCAAACCAAGCTCAAGAGCTCAGGTGCAGGGTGAGTCTGACACTACTACATCCTAACCCCTGGCAGCTGGGCACTGACTACTTTATGCCTCAGTCCCCCCAGCTACAAGTGGGGTGACACAGAACATGCATGCCCAGTGCTGCAGGGAGAAAGGAAGGCAGGGACACTGGGGGCTTCACTGGAACTGCAGGATGCCCGGGTGGCTGCTGCTGTGCCTCACGTCACTGTGCCCTCTGGAGCCCTGGGGGGGGGGGGGAGCGGGGCGGCAGACACAAAGATACAGAGGACTGTCCACCTCCGGGTGGACAGAGGTCACATGAACCCTACACCGAAATTTGGATCTCAGAACTGTGTCCATGGGAATGACTTGGGGCAGGGCATAGTGTCAGCCACATCTGTGCCAAACCTCAAATGCAACCAACAACCACTTAGACACCTCACCAAGACCACACTGGCTTTGGCATCCACGTTGCAGGTCCCCACGGGTTGTGTTCCCCCTGCCCTGGGCACCGGGGCACTCACGGTTCCAGCCTGTAGATGTACTGCCCATCAGGTGTGCGCTCCTGGTGGTAGGTGAGACTGTAGGCGAGCATGGTACCCACAAGGCTGGCCAACTGCTGCTTCTCACGGGCACTGTATAGCTGTGTGCTCACCTAGGGTCAAGCGGGCAGAGATTGGGCAACTGAGCTATGCTAGGAGCCACATCAGCCATAGACTCTGTCCTTTCCGCCAAATCTGACACTCACAGGGCGCAGCTTGGGTGCGAGGACATCCAGGAGCAGGCAGAGGGTATCTAGAACCAGGGCCTGAGGTGTGGCCCTGCTACGGGTGACCGGTGCCATCCCTGACACCAGTGTCTGGATCTGGTTCTTTGTCTGACTCATCCGGGTCTGGGCCTAGGACAGAAGTGAGCTGGGACCAGGTGAGCAGAAACTCCCAGGGTCAGACCTGAATTGTAAACGCAGGTGACACACACACACCTCCTGCTGGCTGCTGGGGAAAGTGATACGTGGCACGTGGCTGGAGGCAAAGAGCACGTGGAAGGCCGCGGGCAGGAAGGGCAGGTAGCGCAGCAGCTGGAAGCTCTGGCCGTGGTGGGCAGCCTGCTCCAGCAGGTCATCGAAGGCCAGCCAGTCAAGGGCACAGCACACGGTGCCTAGGCTGGAGTCCCGAAGCCGAAGGCGTAGAAAGTTGTCAAAGAGGCCCTAAGAGGAGTGAGAGGCCATGAGCCGCTGCAGGAGCGGCTAGGCCCAGAGCCTCTGGCCCTCTCATCTCCCACAGCACGAGCATCAGCCTCAGGATCCTCTCTCTAGCTCCTGCTCTGTGAAGTCCAAGGTGTGGGATTAGCCGCCTATCCAGGGAAGGATCTACTTGTCTAAAGAAGACCCTGAGGCAAGGGAAGACAGCCCACCCACTTGGTCCAGTCCACAGTCCCACCCTGACACAGCAGAAAGTTACATCCTCAGAATCGAGGGCACAGCAGCTCCAGCTGGGCCCGTGCAAGTCCAGTTCCCACTGGCCACATCACACTGCAGATTTCCAGACTGTCGGTGGATTCCCAACCACTAATCCAAAGCTGCTTAGAGGTGAAAGCAGCTTAACCCCAAGCTTCTGGGGAGTGATGGAGGCTGTGTCATCTGCTCAAGTCCAAACTGCTCCCTACCTGCTTTCCACCCCATGTGCACCCTCCACCTAGAATTTAGTCTCTAAGCCCCAGGCCCCAATATATACCTTGCAGAGATCTCTAAATGGTTCCTAGTCACTGGTCCAAAACTCATCCTTGGATGCCTAAGCTCTCTGCCTTCTGTCACCTCCAAATGAATTCCTTCAGTTCCCCTCCTGGGTCTGAGAGTGCTTCCTTATGACCCCTGTCCTTGATCCTACCAATCCCTTGGATGCCTGCCACTCATCCACCCACAACCCTTACTTTGGAACAGACCCAGGGCAGCCTCTGTTAGTACCAGGATCGTAAGAGCTGGGGTGAGCATCGGTACCTGGACAACCTTCTCATGCTCGCCTGCGGAGGTGGTCACACGGAGGATATGGTAGAAGCGCTGGGAGGCCAGGGTCAGGGAGCCCTTGTCCCCATCACCGAGCAGGAGAGCTTGGGTGGGTAGGATCAGGTCCTGGCCCATGAGTCGCCTGCAAGTAGAGGGTACTGAGGCTGGGACCAAGCCCAGCTGAAAGCAAAGATGTCACCAGCCATCCTCGCCACATCCTGTATGTTCAGAGTGAAGCCTTGGCTGGCCATAAATCACTCTGAAAGAACAAGAATCTCTAAACAGAGCCATCTAGGAGCAAAAGACTGCTCTGACTAACTAAAGGAAGGTCAAGGAAAGTCACCCTCTGGGCCACAGACTTAGGAGGCAACTCCCCTTGGGCCCCTAACCCAAGTCAGGTCCCAACCCACAGGACACAATTGAGAGCAAACTGTTGTCCTAGAGCCCTGGCAGCATCAGGTGGCATTTTGGCTCTAGACAGCAAGAGCATCCAGGACAAGGCTGGCCCACTCATACCTCTTAGACTCCTACCTTTGAGCCCTGGGCAACTGGAAGACCTCTTGCCACACAGAGAATAGCCCTTTGCGCTGGTCCTTCAGGCCGACGTGGGTGGTCTGGACGTCCCTCACGCTCAGCTCCCGCTGGCCCCTCCCATATAGAAACTGGACCAAGGGTGGAATAAGCAGCAGCCATCCCACGCCACCCGCCACCCGGCCTCACCCAAGCCACATCCCCACCTGTAGGGTGTTGATACAGGCACGGATGTCATTGTCAGTCTTCTCGCAGAGGGCAGCTAGGGCGCCTGGGTCAGATCGCATGCCATGTTGCAGGGAGATCTAGAGATGGGGGGGAGCACTAGAGTGTCTACCACTGCTGAGAGGACCCACGCCCAGCCTAGCACAGAGCCAAGCCTGTGGCCACAGCCTGGTTCCTTGGACACAGGAAAACAGTCCTGTGCTAGGGCAGCCAGGGAGTGAGTGCAGGGCAGTTCCTCCAGTAGGCCTGGATCACAATCTGACAGCCCAACGCCACAGCCAAGGTGAGAATAGGGCGCTCAGGGGGAAGGAACACGGAAAGGGAGCTCGGGAGAGAGCATGCATCTTGGGCTGGAAGCCGTCCTCCTCCCTGCCCTGCTGACCTCCTGGAGCCGCTGCACCAGCCTGGAGGGCAGAGTTGGCGGAACGTGGAGCAGGAAAGCCTGCTGTTTCAGCTGCCTCAAGGAAGGTACAAACCTGTATAGGACAGGACCTGAAGTCGCCACCCCAGGGACAGGCCCAGGGGCTAAGCCAGGGACCCTTGTGCCCAGGCAGGCCCAGTCCCACGCTGCACTCACTGGTCATTGCAGATACAGATGATGGGCCTCGTTAGGAGGCCCCCTTCGGCCCTGCGCCGCCGGCCCCCTGCAGGCGCAGCTGAGCCTCCTTGCTCTGCCTCCTGGGGACCCTTGCGGTTCAAGATACTCAAGAGAACATTGATGGCAGCCTTCAGGACGGCACAGAAGAGGTCAGTGAGTCAAAGCCCCAGTGCACCCAGCCTGCTCTCCCACCCGCCCACCTAATTATCAGGGAGGCCTACCGTGGGGGCCCCATCAATTTCATCAATAACCAGACAGTTGGGCCTCCCACCCGCACCCAGCACCGACTCCATTTGCGTAGCTGCTTCAATGCGGGTACGGAAGGCCTCAGGACTTCGGTCATCACTGGAACAGCAAGGCCAAGACGAGAGTTACAGGGAGCAGCCAGCATCCCAGCAGGATGTTAGGAGGCTCCCGCTGGATGCAGCTACCACCAACTTCAATAAGCCCTGAAGGACATATCCCAACCCCAGCCTACACTTCCAAGACCCTAGCTCTACCCACCAGTCAGGGTTTCCGAGCTGCAACAAAAGCTCAGCCTCACAGAACCCCACACATGGGTCTTCTCCTCCACTCACCTCGCATTCATCTCAACCACGCAATACCCTGCATGCCGTGCGACCACATGCGCCAGTGTGGTCT